AACAAAATTGGATGGATGGGTGTGTTGTGTGTTAGCAGAGACTGGAGGTATATTTGTGTGTGCTGTGAGGGATTTTGAGTGTGACGGGTTGGAGAATAGAAAAATGTTAGGGGTTTTTGTGTATTAAGGGGTGTGAAGAGAGATGCCTTCATTTTCTTGATTTGGGTGTGGGTGGGTGTGTGTGTGGGAGGTTGGGAATAGAGAGAGGGCATACATTTTCACTGGTGGATCGTTTGTCTTCAGTGGTGACTCTCTTCATCGTCGCTGGTCTGGGTAGAGTGAGAAGAGATGGTGTAGAGAGATTCGAGAGGTAGGAGAGAGGAAAAGAATTGGCAGAGAGAAGAAAAGAAAAGAAAAATGGTAAGGGTTGGGGATTTAGGGGATGGGCCGTGAGAGAGAGGAGAGAGGGAGACAGAGGAGTTTTAGAGACTGAGATTTGGGGAAAATTAGGGCAAGAATTGAGGGTGAAAAATTAGAGCTAATTTCTTATTGGAAATAAATTCTTGGGGTGATAAGTTGGAGGGCTTCAAAACGAAGGCATAGCAGCATTTTGAATTCACCTCCTCTAATTAGGAAAGGAATGATTTTCTCAACCTATATCACAACGAACAAAGAATACGCAAGAGATTAGACTTGGTATTTGAAAAATTATAGATTCGGAAATAAATTATAGATGAAGAGAATGTAATTGAGGGCATGATTTTGGGGGAATAAAAAATAAAAATTGTGGTAAGAGAGAAACTTTATTTCATTAATGAATTTCATGCGTTGGATCAAAAATTTTGAAATGATCTGAGACGGCAATAGCTCGAGATAGATTGAGATAGTGTCGTCTGTTAGATGACACTTTTTTTTTTGTCACGATATATATATATATATATATATATATTATATATTAATATATATTATTATATATATATATATATGTACTAATTATTGATCGTGTCTGAAGGCACTTTGTAACGAAAAATAAATCAACAACTTAAAAAATGAGCATTAGCTAGAGAAAAAGGAGGTGCACACATAATGGTAACAATAAGTATCTAGAACCGATGACTATATAAAAAAAATGAACAAATTACCTACAAAAACATAAATCAACAAATTTGAACATGTATATATATTATCATACCTTAAAAATTCACATTGAAAAAACTCTTGATTGTTTCTGAGATTTTTATGATTGAGGCAGTACCAACAATAAAATTGAAAGAATAACCACAAAGAAGAATGTTTCTATCATTTTTCTCTTGTCTTTCTCTCTTCTCTCTCACCCTCAATTTTAGCTACAATTGCATCATCAAGCACGGCAATGTTGAGTCCCGATTGACCTATTACCTTGGCTTTCGAATCAAAACCATCACCGATGGCCTTGCTGACGATCACCCTCGCACCGGCGAGCGATTCATGTTCATTGTTCCTTCTTTGCACTCAACCAAAAACCTCTAACAATAAAGTATTTCCAAGAAATAATTGTACTATCTATACGTAATTCATTGCTATAAATGTATTTAAGTAAATGGCTTCATCCATAAATAGTCTCAGCTACAAAAAGAAAAATGAAGAAATTAATTTGAATATCACAATGCAAAAAAAAAAAAAAATCAAACTTCAAACAATACTGAGTATTAGGGAAGACAATAGACCAGGGCAGGGTGGGCGAATAATCTCCACTCCCCTATCCGCTTCAAAAATATTTGTCTACCCTCTGTAGCATGTGAAATTTTAATCCCCGTCTCACGAGTAAATTTTGATCCCCGTCCCTTGCCCATAACAATTAAAATAGGTTTAAAAAAAGCTGATCAATGAATTGGAATTGGATGAAACAAAATGTACATCTAAATACATAATAAAAACAATAACAAATAAGAAGTGTACATCAGTTCTATAGAGCTTATTAAAAAAGCCATAATAAGCAAATGCCCTCTTCTTGCATCATTGTAAAAAAGGCATAGAAATCATAAATTAATCTCATCTATACTACTTTTTATTTTACATCACACCATCTAAAGCATGGCCTTAGAAAATATTTAAACATCTCGATTTCTTTAGTCAAAATAAATGGTCACTGGGATGTTTGACAAAATAGAATGCCTAAAGAAAAAACATCAGCAACAAAGAAAATATTATATCACCCATAATTAGTATCTAAAAATCTAAAACCATAAAAATCATGATCCCAAAAAAAAATTCTATAGTTTTTTCTTGTATATCCTATCCAGTGAAATGCTATAAATCACAAAATTAAAATAAAAATTCTTTAGACTCAGGACATACAGGTATACAACTTGCAAGCCAAATAGTTCAGACACCTCAATGTTTATCACATATGAAAGATGATCATAAACCAACTTGCTCGATACATGGATTTTGCTACATGCCTTGGTCAAGATTCCAACTACTATGAACAATTGTATGCTCGTGAATTTTTCTGTCAGCAAAAGAAAATTAAAGAATAGGCAGCCAACTTTGGTGCTTCAGGAATAACGTGTCAATCCAATTGTTTAGTCACCACAATGTTTGACACAACTTGGTGAGGCAAATCTAAAATAAAAATGCCTATAGTAACTTTATCTACCACATAATTACAAAGAAAAGAAATGTCGAAATCTATACTACTTAAAAATGTGGGGATACTTGAAAAATATTTATATTCCACTTTTACCCTTAATTATTCATATAAAGTCAATCATATCTACAATATCTTTTTGTCTTCCTTTAGTATGAAATTGATTATATTAAATTTTGTTAATTAACTCTAAAATATTTACAACTCATTGTCTCTCACAATAAATAAATCCCCCTGCTGATAAAAAAAAACATGTATCTCAATCATCTTCACTATCTTCCATTTTGTTTTTCCTATACTTTGTTATATGTTATATTTCAAAATTTTTGCAATTCGTTGTATCAATTTGTGGGTATCGGCCCACAATCTCATCAATCCTCCAATTACTTTTGACTCACTAAAATCCGTCCAGATCAGTACAAATACATTGTTTGGGAGGAAGCCAAATGAAGGGACAATGCTAGTTTTCATTTTGGTCTTTCAAATTTTCATTTTTGTCCATAATTTTGTTGTTCCTCATTGAAAAATTGCTCTTCACTTGTATTGTTTGGTTGCTACTATACTTCATATCTTTAATTTCATTTCATATAGGTCTATGATGTTTTGGTTATAATGTTTTGTTGTCTTGAATTTGTTTTGTTACACTGTTATGGGCCAGCTCTAATTTGTTTTTAGTGGTTTTGCTTCAAAAGGTTTTGGATCATCACTTGTTTCAACAATTTCAAGATGCGAGTAATCAAATTTTGTGGTCTCTTTCTTCCCAAGATTTTGAAAAAGTTGCTTAATAATCTAATAAAAATATTGTGGAGGTCCTAATCTCTCTCTCTCTCTCCATAATCTGTCTTCTATATTCTTTGGCTTATCTTTTATCTCTTTCTCTATTGTTCAATTATTTTCAGATTATGAAAAGGTTGATGCCCAACTTATTCTCTTGGTTACATCAAACTTCAATTCTTAATTTTCAATCTTTTTAGTTTTTTAACTTTATATAGAGTTGTCCATCTAGGTTGTTAAATTTTTAGAGAAGTGTAGTATAACACATATGGGTTTTAATTTTTGGTTTCTTGCAAAGACTGTATGTCTTTTTATGGAATGATGACATAGCTAATTATTATTCTAAATCTGTACATGTCATCCACAAATTCCACAATAATAGTGTAGTACTCAAATTTGACTGTATTGAGCAGAGTGAAAAGTGATAAAAGATGGAGAATAATTTGGATGTAAGGAACTTAAATGTTGATCCCAATGCGGCTGGTAACTTAGCCAAAAAGAGAATAAAAGATGAAGAGATACATAATAGTAGATTGTATGAAGAATGTTGTTGCATAACACTTTTTGGAAGCTCCAATACGTTCCATTTTTAGTAAACTTGATGAACAGATGTAGGAAAAGAGAGGGCCTTGAAGGGTCGTTAAATAAAAGTCTATATAGTTCTATTACTTTTGTATGAGTGACTGCAGACCATCCAATTAGACCACTTCATGAGTAATCTACATTTTCATCAAATCAAAAATAGGCATTAAAATAACTTAGGCTGATTTCTTGTATGATAATTCTTAATATAAAATTAACATTTTCTTATTCCCATCTCTCTATCTCTGCATGAAGCTAATAACATATATGAATAATATATATTAAGGAGCCAAATAATTGTGTATAGAGTTTTTTTACAGGAAGAAATAACATATATCCATGCAGATTTGCATGTAAGCAAATGCAAAGCTAATAAAAGTTTTTTGATACAAAGATTCATCTAAAATACTTAATGTAAATCATCTATTGGTTTTCATGATTTTACAATTACAAGATGCTGCCATTGAAACAACACTTTGAGGTTGCTTGCTAGATTGGAACGACGTGTGTCAAGATAATGTCCAATTCGAACAAACTCAACCTTGGCACCAGCATTTTGCAAGCTCATCATGTCCAATTCTATATTACAACCTAAGTTATCAACTTAGAATAACATATGAAGTTTAGAGTCCAATTTGATAGTTCATGTGCTATCAAATTGTGAGAGGTCACATTTGCTATTCTAAATTTCCCGTAAGCTTCATTTTGAAGAAATGCTCCAATGCATTCTATCTATCGGAAGTTTAGAATAGCACAGACCATTAGTCTAATTGTTATGGGCCTATGACATGAGATCAACCCTTCTATCAATTGGGTGGCTCAATTAAAGTAATATGCATTTTTTATTTTCGTAATAGGTTTGTTGCTTATATAGCTGTGTTAATCATTAATGCATTATCTTTATTTTTTTTAGATAGAATCATACAATTTAACAACTTACATAGAATATTGATTTTAAAATAAAAACATTTGCATTCAGATTCAAAACTACCACAACTTTACCTACTTGTTCTTTATGATGTCTTAGTTTGAATTAAAGGATTTCTTATTCTTAATGATGATCTTTGAGATAACACCAAAATAAAAACATGGGTCTATAAGAGTCGTTAAGGAATGATTTCATGGCATGCTACTACAAATTCCTCTTTCTATTTTGAAACAATTGCAGTGTTGCACCACTACTACATGCTACGCAACTCTAAGTGTGAGATGATTGATGTTTTTGGGATGACAATGACTGTAACAAGCCAAATCTTCAAGTGTCATGTGTATATTTAAAAAAGGCCTACTCATTAAATAACTTTTTGGTTGATGTAAAAGACAAGTGACAGACAATAATATTCCTATGTTACAGAGTAACTTTCAAGAACTTATGACATATGGTTTTAATGACCAAGCTTATTTAGCAATGGTGAATGGGAGAATTAGGTGAATTAGGAATGATTGGATGTAATCTAATATCACAGTATTTTTAATTATTTGAATAAATAGATTATGATGAATTTGATAAAAACATATCGAGTTAGAAAAACTAATGTCAATTCTCATTGGAGAGTTAAATCCAAAGCATGCACAACACATGTCACTATAAGCGAAAGTTTATTCTAAGCCACCAATGAGTTCATCACGACATCCAAAAGTAACTTTCCCAAGGTTTGTGGTCAAAATACATCATGACATTAGGACTTGACGTTTGTATTGAAGTTCTTGAATTTTTTGTATTTCAATTCCCTGACGTGTATTAGATTTTTTTTAAAATCAATGGATCCTTTTAAATTTAAGTTAGGTAATTTAGCATTGAGAAAATTGAAAAAAAAAATTAATCTCTAAATGGACTAGATTTCGATATTGCATGACGAGAGTAGTGATTAATAAACTACTCTTCAATTTTTTTTTGTCGGATCCCCTCAAACATACTTTCTTTACAATTCATTTCTTAGTGAATTACCTATCATGTATTCAAGTGGGACTAATTGGATAAAAGAAACTTTCTCACTCATTAATGGTAGATGATCCAACAAAAAAGAAAATTGAAGAAAAAAGTATTGAAAGACATTTGAATCCACTGATTTGAGACATTCAGATTAGGAGTGCCATTTTTATCATGTGTATCAAAGCATCTGCTACGGTATTGACAATAACTTCTTTACTCTTTTTTTTTAATTTTAACTTTTTTTCTCCAACAAATTATAAGAAAATTAGTCTATGCATGCATTATTGATTGATTTAACTCAAACACAAATAAATAAAAATTTTACTAAAAAGATATACGGTCTTTAGATTGTCTAATATTGGGTTAACTGTAGGCAATTTTAGTATCTATTCTAATTTGTTTTAACTTTTTCAAACTTCAAATAATAATTAAGATTATTTTAGTTTAATAATTCTTTTTTGATTTTTCATTGGAATTGACCTTATATTCAACATTCAATTATTAATATATAAATTTATGTCTATTCATAAAATTTATAACTTAAATATAATTAAAAATTATT